GACTACAAAGAGGAGTAAGTAGGATAGACTTACTCGTCTCAAGGCATCGGCTGCGTCAGTGAAGAGTTCAGCACATCCCATCAGTTTAGGGGAGCGGCAGACGTACTCAGTGATGGCCTGAGGATCAACGTATCGAATTGTAGTATCAACACTTGTTGTTGTATACCTTTTCTAAGAAACATGGCAGAACGAGTCCTTGAGAAAGCAGTTGGAGCATACTTGTTTGAAACTGACTATCAAAGACTAACAGGCTAAGACCCAGACCACAATGGTCCTTATGATGACGTGAAGATTGTTGACACTCATGTAAGATTCCAATGTTGAAAATCTGTTTGAAATGATATTGTGATGATGAACTTGTGATGTGTTAACTTTGATAAACAGGAGGGAAATGTAAATAGAATTTATAGTTAGTTACCAAAGTGTGTTAAACCAAAGTGTGGTGAACCATAAACTGTTATCTATCTAAGTGTGGTAAATAATGGTCTGCTGGACAGGAGTAGATACCCCTAAAAGGATTTTTACTATGCAGGTAAATAAAGGATGAGGTCTGTTTCTCACCAAGTATGGGAATCAGATGACCTTTGCCCTGGGAGTAAAACTCAAAGAAAAAAACAACTGCCCAGTATTTGTGAAACTTTCTCAATAAAAGGAGCTGTAGTCCTCATACACTTTGAGACTTAGGTGAGCCAACTCTGCGAAGCTGTTGGTCTCTCTGCTCCCCCTAGCAGCGAGTAAAAAGTACAACGTTGTCAGGTGTGGTTCTTTTCAGGTCATTCTATCTGCGGCAGTTAGATGACAACAGTGGTGACTGAATAACGTAATTTTCGGCACCAACAACAGGCCATAAAGTTGACATCTCCAACATGGAAGGGTGCAACATATACTTCTGATATGCTAATTGGTGCAGCTAAACTGGTTGAAAACAGCATGGAGCACAGAATAAGATCTGTCACAGACCATGACATGTTTGACAATGACTATATGGTGAGAGGCCTAGATGTAGGTGTAAACAAGCACAGTGTCAAACACAGAGAACCAAGATAGAAAGGGAAACAGACATAGATCTAATAATGTTTGTAGGAAATGTGGTGAACAAGGCCACTGGGCAAAGGAGTGCAGGACAGGTAATCAAAGTAGGAATGGTACACAGTAAATTTGGAAGTGTTAATTCAACTCCTAGAGAGTTGAATTCAACACTTTCAAAGTGTCTATATTGGTCCACTCTAGATTGAGTTAAAACAACACTTTTGAAAGAGTTAAACATGACAGAGTTGAAAGAACACTCTGAGTTGATGAAATTTAACACATATGAGTGCTGAATCCTGGTCTGATAAATAGGGATGGTGTTCATCCCACCCTGGATGGAGCTTCTCTCCTTTCCAGAAATCTGACAAAGTTGATTAAATCCCAAACATGACAATTAGGAAATTACCAAATTCATGCTCTGATTTCTTAGCTGAATTTGCAGATTTTTTGTCAGAATTAGTTCTCTGTTCTGACAGAATTATCATAGTCGGCGATTTTAACATCCACATAGATGTAGCCAATGACAGTCTGAGCTCATCCTTTAAAGCTCTGCTCGACTCAATTGGCTTCAAACAACAGGTTAACAAACCTACTCACCGCCACAAGCACACCCTAGACCTTATTCTAACCTATGGCATTGACATATATAACATGGTGGTATTTAATGAAAATCCCCTTCTGTCTGATCATTTTCTCATCTCTTTTGAATTTATAGCCACACACGCTCATAATTCTAGACAGCACCATTATTATAGTCGCTGTTTATCTGAGAGCTCCGTGCAACAGTTCCACGAACAGCTCTCTTCTGCCCTTCAGTCAAGTTTCTGTTACACAGATTCAGATTTAGAAAATTACATGACAATATCCCCCACAAAATTTAATGATATAGTAAATAAAACAAACTTAACTTTAAAAACTGTCATAGACAATGTAGCCCCCCTAAAAAAGAGAATTATGTCTCAAAATAAATCCGCCCCATGGTTTAATACCCAAACTCGCGCCTTAAAATTAGAAACAAGGAGATTAGAAAGAGCATGGCGTTCCACACATAACGACAGTCACTATGTCCTGTGGAGGAACAGCTTTGATAATTACAAAAGAGCTCTGAAACATGCAAAAACAACTTATTACTCAGAGTTAATAGACAAAAATAAGAGCAATCCCAGGTTCCTTTTCAGCACTGTAGCCAGGCTGACAGAGAGCCAAAATGTAATCAACCCAAAAATACCTCTATCTCTGCGTAGTAACGACTTTTTAACATTTTTTAATGACAAAATAGATAAAATCAGAGATAAAATTAATCACCTCCTTCCTCCACACATGACCAAAATGCAGTTTAGCATGAATAACCTAGACACAATGGTGACTCCAATCTTACAATTAAATGAATTTAACCCTTTAAATCTCCCCGAGCTAAGGTCTCTGGTCTCCGCTGCTAAATCAACCACCTGTCAGCTGGATCCTATACCAGCTAGACTAGTTAAAGAGTCCCTTCCCCAAATAGGTCACATAATATTACAACAAATAAATATGTCCCTACTGAGTGGCTGTGTCCCAGAGGCATTCAAAATAGCAGTAATTAAACCATTACTTAAAAAGCCTTCTCTGGACGCTGGCACTCTAGCTAATTATAGGCCCATTTCAAATTTACCTTTTATTTCTAAAATCTTAGAAAAAGCTGTCGCTTCCCAATTGTGTGATCATCTGCATGACAATAATCTATTTGAAAAATTTCAATCTGGGTTTAGAACCCATCATAGCACAGAGACTGCACTATTGAGAGTACAAAATGATGTTCTCGTGGCCTCTGATAAGGGACTGGCGTCTATCCTGGTCCTTCTGGATCTCAGCGCAGCGTTCGACACAATTGACCGTGAGATCCTGTTACATAGGCTGGAAAAAGATGTCGGGATTAAAGGATCAGCACTTGCCTGGTTCAAATCCTATTTGTCGAACAGGTTTCAATTTGTTAACGTAAATGAGGAATCCTCCATACTCACTAAAGTGAACTATGGAGTTCCTCAGGGTTCCGTGCTTGGCCCAATTCTTTTCACTTTGTACATGCTGCCACTAGGCAACATCATCAGGAAGCACAACATAAACTTTCATTGCTATGCAGATGACACCCAATTGTATGTATCGGTACGGCCAGATGACCCAAACCCCTTAATTAAAATCCAAGATTGTCTTAGAGACATTCTGACATGGATGACCCAGAATTTTCTAATGCTTAACACAGAAAAAACTGAGGTCATAGTTTTAGGGCCTAAACATATAAGAGCACCATTGTCAAATCTAACTATAACCATAGGTAGTTCTACCCCAGTCCCCTGTGGTAAAGCAAGGAACCTGGGTGTCCTGTTTGATCAGGATTTATCACTACAAAAACATATTAACCAAACCTGTAGAACAGCCTTCTACCACCTACGTAACATTAAATCCATTAGAAAAATGTTATCACGACCAGATTCTGAAAAACTAATCCATGCCTTTATAACCTCCAGGCTGGATTATTGCAATTCGCTACTATCAGGATGTCCCAATAAGTCCTTAAGAAGCCTTCAACTGGTCCAGAATGCGGCAGCACGCATACTGACCGGAACTAGAAGACGAGAACATATAACCCCCGTCTTGGCTTCAATACACTGGCTCCCAGTAAAAAGTAGAATAGACTTTAAAATACTTTTAATCACATACAAGGCCCTAAATAATCAAGCCCCATTATACATTTGTGATTTAATTACCCCATACAAACCAAATAGATCACTGCGCTCCCAAAATTCGAATCTATTGGTCATCCCTAAAATAAATAAAAATAGAACGGGTGGTAGAACTTTTAGTTACCAGGCTCCTCTCCTGTGGAACCAGCTCCCACTCTCAGTAAGAGAGTCAGATTCTGTCTCGTCCTTTAAAGTGAGACTCAAAACCCATTTGTATAGTATAGCCTATAGCCTAAATTAGATTAAACATGCCCCGACTAGAACAGTCTAAAAAGATGCTGCTATAGGCCTAGACTGCTGGGGGGCATTGCATTGCATTGCATTTCATTTCATTTCACTTCATCTTGCACTTATAATGAGGACACAGACTCTACGGTCTTACTTTATTCTTCTGTCCTGTCCTATATTCATACCGACCACCATGTATACACTTAGGAAACTGGTCCCACTCTTTTACAGTTCTGCTGCCACCGGTGAACAGGAGGAGCACAGGACTACTGCCACTACCACTACTGCAGCTTTTTTTTCTTCATTGGTTTTTATGTATTTGTACAATGTATGTTCTGATAACATCTATTGCACGTCTGTCCGTCCAGGGAGTGGATCCGTCACCTGTGGTTCTCCCTAAGGTTTCTACCTTTCTCTTTTCTCCCTGTTGAAAGGGTTTCTCTTTCGGTAGTTTTTCCTTACCCTGGCTGACGGTCTAAGGACAGAGGATGTTACCAACCCTGTGAAGCCCCATGTGACAAACTGTATTTTGTAAATGTGGGCTATATAAATAAAATTTGATTGATTGATTGATTTGATTCTGAGACGAGCAAGTTTCTCTTTTCATCAGGGGTCCTCATCAGCGTCCTGAACAGAGAGAAAGAAATTGGGGCTGACCCCCCATTTTAAAGGTTGCGGAGGTCACTGATCGTGACGTATTGGGTTTCCCAGAAGCAGTAGAATTATGGGAGTTAAAGTCCTTGTGGTTGTACCCGCAAGTAGGTGACAGATGGTGTGGATGACTTTCTCCACTGTTAAGTGGATAATTTTAAATGTCATTAACAGCTAGCTTAGCTTAGCTAGCATCACTTCTGTATTAGTAATTTACCAGGAACATGTTACATTTTAATACAATTTGGTTTCACATGATCTGTCCTGGGATTGGAGGCTTTTACAGTTTTACCAATAACTCAGCAGAACAGATGTTACACAACTGTATATCTTTATTTACTTTCAAACACAATTTCTTCAGTGCATATATATATATATATATATATATATATATACACAGTATATATGTATAAGAATTATCAGTGATTTCTTATAGAATAACACAAATGATTTGGTTTGTCCAATGACAGTGTCTAGAATTATGTACTCATAAGTGAAGTCAGTGCAAAGAAAAAAAATTAAAAATATATATATATTATAAGTCACTGCTAATCTTGAGTTAATACTTTTAAAGTCACTTTGAGGACCAACAGGAAGTTGGACTTGGTGAGCAGTATGTTTGTATTGGATAAGAGTGGATTCAGGAAATAAAACATTTGGCTTTGGATAAAAGAAATGTGTCTCTTTCTGTACTGAGAAAGAAAACTTTCTCATAATTCTTACCCAATAAGCCCACACATAAAGATTAAAACTTGTATTATTATTTTCTAAAATGCATCAGTTCCCCACAGTGAAAGTAAAACAGGAATTACTGTAGAAACCCATGTGGGTACTTATTTTTGGAAATGCTACATTGCAACCACAAAAATAATTCTATAAAGAAAATGCAGTCAAGTGCTTAGATGATTAAAAAAAATATCAGACATAACAAACATGATTTTGGTCCCAAACATCTTAACATTTGACTTAATAACTGACCTGTACAAAACTTTTCCTTTTTTTTTTTACTGTCTAACAGTTCCTGCTCCAGAGGCCACAGGTCACGCTTTCAACACTGTACCATGATTCTTACAGAGGACAGATTAATAAAAACATGTATTGAGTTTTTTTTTTTTTAGTGTTTCCCAAAGGTTTATAAACTGTCCAATAGGGGGTATTTATTCACACAGCATTTCTTAACATACTCACCTAATTCAGACAGCTAGTCTATTTGCTTTGAAACAAGAATTACATTGTTTAAAAGGAATAACAATGCTAAATTAGGAGCCTCAAAAAGTCAGTGACGTCATGTTTCAGCCTTTGATATGAAGTAATGTGTGAGGTTTCTCTTTCCACAAGGATGGGTGCTTGGTGGTTTACTGGTTTAAAACTGGGAAAATTATACAAAAATCATCAGATCAGTTTGGCCACCAGAACACTAGAACTCTATAATAATGTGGTTACCTTCTCTGATGCTGCCCTCTTACCCCTACTTTCTTTTTTACTTTGGTAAGTCAAGATGAAATATACAAAACCCTCACCATTTTGAATAATGAATATTGAAGTGTAGAGTATTTCTTATTATTTATTGAAGTGTATTTTGAGGAAATTCAAACTGTGTGTAAAACGGCCTCCCCCAGGATTATGTTCATGAAAAACACACACACTAACAGATGAAACAAACATCAAACAAACAGTGCTGCCATTATTACAGTACTCCACTAAAGGTACAGTGCGAAAAACAATATATCTGATATATACAGTTCTGCAAAATACAGTTAAAATTCTTTCATATTTAAGATGTCCTTGTGCTGGAAATATTTTACAAAACATATTATGAATATAAATAACAAATGGACAAAAAGACAACGTTACGTTTGACAGCCAGGCAGTTATACATTCATCTTCCCTGTGATTTGTCTACAGTGACGTATCTTAGTAGGGCCTGTATTTTTCATGGGTTTCAGAAATCATCATTGAAAACACTTGATGTGGAAAGGTTGAAAGATTTTGCTTTTCCTTTTTCGTCCTCTAAATTTGATAATTCACCTTAAATATGAGAAGAAATTCCCATAAAAAACAGTATAAATAAGCCAAAAAAAAAAAAAATCACAAAGAAGTCTAAAAGGTGAACTTTTTTGTAAGATAAAAAGGATAACAGAATTTATTGCAAATAATAAAATAAGTAAACCATACGTTTGTGTAAAAAATATATAAATGTGATGACAAGACCTGTCCTGATTAATAATTTCAGGTTTATTAACAATTTTTAAAAAATCAACCAACTGTTTTGGGAGGTGGTTTGCCTGTCAGACCAAACAAGCTAAAGATCTACTTTTCTCTTCTAGGGTGGGGGAAGGTTACTTTCAGTTTCAGTTTGAGGTTTAGCAGAGATCGTGAGATGCTTGAGAAACACAGGCCCTGGTCAACAGCAGCAGCAGTAGCAGCAGTTTTTTCTCAGCCAGGGTAAAGGCCCTTTGACCTTATGGGCCAGGCTACTGCACATGATCCACTGCTCTCCTGGTGGGCCTGTACCTCCCTGCACTTACTCCACATCCAAGATCTGCTGACCCACCATGTCCACGGCTGCAGAGGCCTTTATAGAAGTCCCTGCAGCACCTGCGTCTACGAACATGTATGTCGTTGCCAAAGTAGATTTTGCTGTTAGCAGCGATTGTCTTGTACTTCATCAGCTGCAAGTACTCTGGGGTTAACTTCAGCTGGACAAAACAATTTAAAATGACAGTAAAAAAGTCTGGACTCTCCAGGCACTCTCTGCAGCTCAAATTGAATGTTGGCTTGTGTAATATCTTCACCTTGTTGGCCTTGGCTGTTCTCTGTGCTGTATAGAACTCTGCGTCTGCCTTAGCCTTCTGTTGAGCCAGGAAAGCACCATCTATAAATTATAAGAAAAAGCCAACAGCCGACAGTCAGCAGCAGGGTGGTTTAAAAGTCCACTGTGAGTTACAGCTTGGAAGGAAAAAAGGAAGGTGTTAAAGCGCCACCAGTTTCACTGCTGATCCCCTGGGTCTGTAGGTAACTGCCCCATACCAGGACTGAAGGTTGAACTTATTGGTGGTATCAAGCCACATCTTCAATCCACTTGCAAATCCAATCAGATGTCACTTCACACCAACCATGTAAAGCACATACCTGTGCATTTCTGCATGAAGAAACCAAAAGATCTTTCTGAACGACCCAGACTGCACAAATAGGCCTGTTTTCAGTGCATCTACACCTTTTTAAGGAACATGGTTCTCTCCAGCTGATGTTTATTGTGGACGCGTGTTTTTGATGAATTCATGTTTCAAGTAAAAAAAAGACCTGGACACCAACCTTCGATTCCAGAGATCTTCCTCTCAGTTTCTTTCTCCATCATCTTCTGTTCAAACTTGATTTCTGCTACTTGTGCCACTTTCTCAGCCTCTGCCAATCAGGGGTCAGAAATTAACTGTTACCAAAATCACATTTCACCACTTCTCCATTATCAAAAAAAACCCTCTTTTCACACCTATCACAGCTTTGATCCTTTCAGTTTCCGCCTCCTTCTCCACCACCTTCTGCGTCTGTTGAGAGATCAGCAGTTTTGTCTTCTCACTCTCCCTACAAAATAATAAAGAGCCATTTAGTGTGGCTTAGGGTTTAGAGTGTAGAGGGGATATGTGAGCATGGCGAAAGTGGGCAGGACAGTGTAGACACACACATTACTTTCTGGTGCTTCTGTTTACATTCAGAGACATTTAGCCTCCAGGTGTAAATGTGTAATTACAGTGTAAAGTACAAGTGCTGGAATCGTTAATTTAAATGTATTTACACCACAAGTTTTTATTGTTAGACTTTTCTTTACTTTATTACAATTATTGGAATATGAAGCAATCAATGTTTTGACCGTTGGCATAAGAAAAAAAAATCCGGAAATGATATTGTATGATTTTTCAACAATATTTTTGTATATTACTGTGTCAAATAAGTATTTGATCACTTGCTTATCAGCCAGATTTCTGACCCTCAAAGACCTGTTATTCTGCTTTTAAATAGTCCAACTACATTCTGTTGGTGCCGAAAATTACGTTATTCAGTCACCACTGTTGTCATCTAACTGCCGCAGATAGAATGACCTGAAAAGAACCACACCTGACAATGTTGTACTTTTTACTCGCTGCGAGGGGGAGCAGAGAGACCAACAGCTTCGCAGAGCTGGCTCACCTAAGTCCCGAAGTGTATGAGGACTGCAGCTCCTTTTATAGAGAAAGTTTCACAAGTACTGGGCAGTTGGACCTACATTGTAAAAAACCTACTCCTGTCAAGCAGACCATTATTTAACACACTTAGATAACAGTTTATGGTTCACCACACTTTGGTTTAACACACTTTGGTAACTAACTATGAATTCTATTTACACATTCTGATCATGATTCTAATTTAGTAGCACCTGTTTGAGGTTGTTCGCTTTCATAAAGACACCTGTGCACCCCACAATCAGGCAAAGTCTAGCTATCCAACATGGGCAAAACCAAAGAGCTGTCAAAAGACACAAGAGACAAAATTGCAGACCTTCACAAAGCTGGAAAAGGCTACGGGGCAATTGCCAAGCAGCTTGGTGAGAAAAGAACAACTGCTGGAGCAATTGAAAATGGAAGAGGCTAATGATGACTGTTAATATCCCTCGGACTGGGGCCCCACGCAAGATCTCACCTCGTGGGGTATCAATGATGCTAAGAAAGGTGAAGAATCAGCCCAAGAACTACACGAGAGGAGCTGGTCAATGACGTGACGAGAGCTGGGACCACCGTTTCTAAGGCTACTATCAGTAATACACAAAAACGTCATAGTTTAAAATCATGCGTCGCATGGAAGGTTCCTCTGCTTAAAGTCAGCCCATGTCAAGTTTGCCAGTGACCATCTAATGATCCAGAGGAGCTCCATTCGCCGTGTTTGGAGGAAGAAGAAGGATGAGTATCATCCCAATAATACCATACCTACAGAGAAGCATGGGGGTGGAAGCATCACGCTCTGAGGGTTTTTATCTGCACAGGGGACAGGATGACTGCACTGTATTAAGGAGAGGATGAACGGGGCTATGTATTGTGAGATATTGGGCAAAAACCTCCTTCCCTCAGTCAGAGCATTGAAGATGGGTTGTGGTTGGGTCTTCCAACATGACAATATCCCAAAGCACACAGCCAGGAAAACCAAGGAGTGGCTCCGTAAGAAGCATATCAAGGTTCTGGAGTGGCCTAGCCAGTCTCCAGACCTAAATCCAATAGAAAACCTTTGGAGGGAGCTGAACTCCGTGTTGCTCAGCGACAGCCCCTAGATCTGACAGATCTAGAGAAGATCTGTACGGAGGAGTAGGCCAAAATCCCTGCTGCAGTGTGTGCGAACCTGGTGAAGAATTACAGGAACTGTTTGACCTCTGTAATTCTTAACAAAGGCTTCTGTACCAAATATTAAAATTGTTTGACTCAAGTGATCAAATACTTATTTGACACAGTAACTTCAAACAACTTCAAACTTCAAAAATCATATGTGATTTTTTTTAGATTCTGTCTCTCACAGTGGAAATGCACCTACGATGAAAATTTCAGGCCCCTCCATGATTTCTGAGTGGGAGAACTTGCAAAATCACAGGGTGATCAAATACTTATTGACCTCACTGTATCCATATGGAAGTAAATGTTGCTCTTCATTAGATATGTCAGTTTGAAGGCCTGCGACAGCATGTTGCCCACCACACAATTTAATACAGCCCAACAAAGCTCATTACGCATATGATTATCGTAAAATAAATGTTTATCTCAAAGAGCAGTGCCTGCAGCTTACATATTTCTGCAGTATTCCCGAGAGAGAGGATAATTCAAACCTCATCTTTAGATCTTCACTGTTTGCTACTCAAATGCTTCTCCCTTAATTAGCCTTAGATTTACAATAAATCTCCATTTTCTTGAGAACCTTGGACATCCTGCTGACTCATGAAAACACATCATGTTCTCATCATGACAAGATTCTTCTCTTTTGGCAGGGAGAGTTGAAACAATGTCCTGACCATACATTTGCGAGGAAAAACAAATACAGTACTCACCAAAGCTTCAGGATTTGTTATTAGTCAGTGGAAAAAACCAGGGGACTCACATGAGTTCGTAGTTTCGACGAATACTCTCTGGGATGTTAGGCTTTGTCACACGCACTGCCTGTTGACCAAAGAAAGACAAATAAATACTAAAGAAGTCTGTTGGTAAGGGAAAAAAAGGATAACCAGCAGCTGGAACACAGCCCTGGAACTCTTAGAGTTGCTCAATACTGCCTTGATCTGTTTGATTGTTGGTTGATTTTTTTTATTAAGTTCAACAGTTTAGTCAAGAGTTTCTGGAGATTCGATGGAAATATGATGCCAAAGAAGAAAAACCTCAGTGTTGTGTTAAACATTAAAACAAATAAGTTTTACAGTAAAAATTATAACCAGTGTGTGGGTGTGGAGTCTGGAAGATCCAGAAGCAGAAATCAATCTTTCTTACAAAAGTTGCAGCAACAACTTATAAGTTCAACGTAAAGCAACAGCAGCTCCACCTACAGTTTTTTCTGTGGATATTTAAAATAATAATTTTGAGACTTTTAGTTTGATACATAACTGCTCATTCAGAACATACAGTCTAACATACAGTCTAACTGTATGTTCTGAACAGCACGAGTAATAGCACTTATGCTGTCCACCTGTTTGCCAGATCTGGGGCACAGTACTTCCTCAAATATGGCTGACAATAACTCACATATCTGCTATGAGTTTGTTGAAAGATGTTTCACATGTGGCCTACATACTGTAAGGGTCCTTTTTTTAGTGACACTGTACCTGTATGATGAGTCCAGGGGCCATGGAAGTTAGATCTTCTTGCAGCGTCAGCTTCAGATTTTCATCGATTTGGTCTGAGAGAAAAAGCAAAGTGAGAGAGGAGTGGGAGGAGCACAAACCGTGGATATGATTTCAGATCCAAACAGATAACATTGTCAAAATATATATATCTTTTTAGATAACACTGTAACACTGAGAGGATGGGACAAAACCTTTGACCTTTTAGACCTACCAAAGAAGACGATGTAGACTTCCTGCAGCAAGTGAGCACTGCAAAACTGGTTGAGCTCATGGTGCACCTTGTTGAATATTAGAGCTTTATCGTAGTCGGCTGTGAAGTTTCTCACTATGTCATACACTGCAATGAGGAAAGTGAGGATCAGACCAAGCAGAAATTACAGCAATCACCGTGTGGAGACATTGTGTGAGCTCCATGAAGATGAAATCTTCTGTCAGACAGTGTGAGAACATTGCAGAGTAAAACACATTGACAGTTGATCATTTTTTAGTTTACCTGCTGATGGAATGAGGTAGTTCACTACTTCTATACGGTCAAAGTAAATCATCACTCCTCCACTAAAATAAATCAAAAGAAGAAGGGAAAAAAAAAAAACATTTTACTGTTCAAATATTTGTGTCCACGACAGTGGTGTGTGGTCAAGGGTATCATCTTTTGGCCTGTGGTACAGACTCGTTTGGATTAACCACATATCACACAACAGCTGATATTGCAAAATATGGTCAAGGGAAACTCTACCTTGTGCCACATGGTACATTCTTCACCTTTGCTGTCTGCAGCGTGGTCTAAGAGCCAAGAAAACAAAGTTATACATTTAACTTCATTTGTAGAGATGATTGAAAAAAAAACACCAAAACTGTAGGAACCAGAAACAGTAACTCTGTTATTTTCTTTACAAGACTGGGATTAGTGTGGTTTGGTCTTCAGACCATGTGAGTGGAATGAAACAGAGCAATGTGTGTGCGAGGGTGGATTTTGGAAGCATGGCATAGGTTTTTTGGAAAGGTGTGCTTTTTTCCATTCCACTATTTCTGTAATGATACTAAACTAAGTAGGCATTGTAAAAAATAAAATTTACAAGTCACAAAACTGAACAACCAAAAACAGAGAACATTTTAAAATAACACTAACTAAGTTTAAATCATGTGCAGACAAATATCAGTGAATTGGTATTGAAATTGAGTAATGACACAGCAGTTATCAGCAGTACATCTAGATTCTGTTTCTCTATGCCAGTTACAGCGGTATGAAAAAGTTTGGGCACCCCTGACAATATCCAATATTTCCATTTATAAATTATAAAATATAAAAAATAAAAAAATTGGGTCGTTGTCTTGTTGAAATATCCAGCCTCAGCGGAACTTCAACTTTGTGACTGATTATTATTATTATTCTCAAGAATCTGCTGATATTTAGTGCAATCCATGTGCCCTCAACTTTAACAAGATTCCTAGTACCATGACTGGCCACACAGCCCCACAGCACCAAATTTTACTGTGGGTAGCAAGTAGTGATGTTCGATACCACCAATTTCCCTTCCGATCCGATACCGCGTAAAATTCGGGCTGGTAT